GATGTTTATATTTACCATTAGGTTAACAACTTGATATATTCTTATGTTGTGGCCGCTACCAGAACATCATAGCGTGCATGCGCGTAGATAAATGATTCAAGTTCAGATTAAAGTAAGTTCCACGCAATAGGATTGTATATATCGGGCGCATATATTACTTATAAGTGCCACCTCCAAACTGGAGGTGGCTTTCCGTCATTGAGATAGACGCGGCCGCAGACCCCATTACTGGGGTCTGCGTCGGCTCGGACTACACAAAGTGATGCACAGATTTCTGTGTATTATCAACTGATGCACAGACTTTCCGTATATCAAGGAATGATGCAAAAACCTTAACCCTACCCCTAACACACTTCGTGATACCTAAGCCTAAGGTTATACTTTATGACTTGGCAGTGGCTACGGGTACGGTAGCCGTATCTTAATGTCTCGAGGCTACGGGTACGGGAGTCCATTCGCTTTCATACTTAACGAGACAAAGATGGCGGCGGTGGCGCCAGATTTCGAAATAACGCCTTGGGAAATAAATTCACGATTTGAGAGTTTAGATAAGCTAGAACCCTAACCCTAACCCTAACGCCAAAAAGGGGCTTCAACGACCGACGGCTACCGTACCTCCAGCCACTGCGTTATGACTTAGGGTTAGGGTTAGGGTTTTTGCATCATTCCTTGATATACGGAAAGTCTGTGCATCTGTTGATGATGCACAGAAATCTGTGCATCACTTCGTTATACCTAAGGTGCCTAAAGTAGATTTGCGCCCTGTGTAAGTGTAAAAGTTGCAATTTACTAAAAAAGCATGACTAAATATTTTTGAACTCTGAATATAGCATTTCACTGTTTTTAACATCTTCCTAGTGTGAGTCGGAGAGGCTTTCATTCTTCATCTCTCCGTCAAGGTCTGATGGAGTTCTTTGACAATCCAAAAGTCTATGGAGAAGATCAAGTTAAACATGGTAAGCAAGTCCATGCCACTGAATTTAACTGTTAAACTACTTGCATGTTAGTGTTACCCTCACTAGCAGCCCTACACCAATACTACAAAGCCTTGGGAAGTGTGGGTTAAACTGCATTAATTTTAACAATGCAGAAGTGCCATAATAAATTTTATAACTTATAAGAGCTTACTATAAAAGCAGGGCCATATAGCAGGCCAATATAGAGTAGAAGTACTACAACTGCTCAGGATATCCTGTTAAAAACCATGCTATTGGCATAAACTACCAATAATTTATTATGTATTTTGTCCTTTTTTTTTTTTTACATCTTTAGGCAGGGCTTGGAAAATAGATGAACTTCGTATCAAAAGTAATCAGGATCTGCACAAACTTTGGTGAGTAAATGATCAAGTTGCAATCGTCAAGAAACAAGGGTTGTCTCAAGTTGTCATTTAACTAGAAGTTGATTTTGTGTTCTAGCATAGTTTCAAATCTTAGTGTCTCTATTTATCTTACAGGTTTGTCTTATATAAAGAAAAGAACATGTTACTGACAATGCAAGAGGAATGCAGAAGAGAGGCAGCATTGTTTCCAAGCCCAGAAAGAATAGACAAGGCATGTGTTTGTCACTCGTGACTATTCTAATCATCCGTAATTTACTAAGCAACACGTTTAAAAACTAGATTACAAAGCTGCATGGCAAAAACAGTGAATATAATATTACTAATAATGAAGGGAAAAATCTCCAGGTAGGCTGACTTTCTTCCTGAATGCAATTATACATGTTATACTCTAATTTAAATAGATGAGTAATTTTGTTTCATTGGGGAACTAGTGGAACATTGGCGAAATAGGATTTGACAGTTCTTTTTCTCAATTACACTATCCATGTGGATGAGTGACAGCAGTATAGATTTCTAATTCACAATTTGAGGTTGGCTCGTTGAGTTGTATTGACATTGCCTGTCTTTCCTCTATGAGTCGCGTGTGTGGTGTGACTGACTATTCTATTATGTGTCCGGGCAGGTGGAGGAGAGCATGGAGAACCTGAATGCGGTTGTAGAGGAGCGAAACCACGCCTACAGAGAGCTGGAGGAGGGAGAGCAAGCCAACGTAGACGGACAGTGGCAGCATACACCGTTTGGTAGACTAGGTTACCGGCGTTTCAAGGAGTATCCGATACCGCCTTGGGCTAACGTCACACACAGGGCCATCAATCAACTGCCGCGACACGTCCCGGTGACGTGGAAGTATGGGGTTCTCCATAGAGAACAGGTTATTAGGAAAAATGCTCAGGCAAAACGGCGATTGCTCAACCAGAAAAAACGATTGAAGAGTGCGTTTCCGAATGCAGAGATGGATTGAAGTGTCGGAAATTAAGTGTGTATAGCCTACGTATATTGACTACAGATAGGTTCACAGTAGAAGTAAATGTACGATTGTATAGGTATTTGTATCATAGTTGATAATCAGCTGAATAAAGTGATCATTATAGTGTGGTCGTTTTGTTCATGAGCATGACCTTTTGTACGTTCACTCTTAATTAGTCATTAATGTATTCTCACCCGTTTCGAACTTACTGGGTCGTGGAAAGCAAAATACCATGCTAGACTATGGTAAAGAAATATATACATCTGTCACCTGGTTAGGACGCCCCTCCCCCCCTCCCCCCACCCCCACCCCACAGCTGCCAGATGTTGGTACGTTTTCCGTCAACTAAGCAACACATTTTCGTTTATAATCTACACAACTGCATGACGGCTGGAAGAGCCGTAACCGCGGCTGCATCTGTTCTCAGCACCTGTCGGGTATAGCCAGTAGTTGTCAGATGCTGATGAAAGGGGACTTCTTTAGTGTTTCCATATCAATATACATCAATGGGTACTGGATCGGTAATATTATTGTTTATTGAAAACGCAAATTTCATTTAAATAAATAAACAATAGGCTTGATAAAATGAAATATTTAAGTTTTGTAAGATTTCCTGTCAGTAAAATATGATAAATTGTAATACGAGTTGACTATAAAATTCAAAGGTTCAAGCAGCCCAAATTACAGATTGTTCACCATTCGCTTCCATGCAAATATACCTTTATATATTCGATTGATTTACATTTATTTGAACCGATGAATAGAAATACCGTTGATAAAACCTAGATGTATACATGTTGGCAGATCTCCTGCTAGTAAAATGAGGACAACTTACGAAACGCTCTAGTACTAAATCGCAAAAGAAGAACGTGCAGCCACGTGTGCAGTCACTGAAGACGCCATGTAACACAAAGATGGATGTGATTATAAGTACGTAACACACTGGGAAACACGTTGCAATGCACAACGTCAGAGAGCAAGTATGATATATTGCACGGCTGTCCAAATCGGAACCAATAGTGATGGCACCGGGTTAACTATAGGGCCCACTATAAAAACCCAACCATAAATCTCAACGTACATTTGTCTGATGCATAATATGTGTAATTTTCATGCCTTTATTTATTTGTGATGCTGCGTGAAATGCGTGGCAATTTCGTGATGGGTTGGGCGATAAGAATAAATAAAGTTTTCCAATAAAAACGATGTGCTTGGAATCCTGGCAGCCCACAGAAAACCAGCGTGAGCTGGGGCCACGTGGACAACCTTGATGTTACCACAAGGTGGAACACCGATGTATACATAGCTGCTCAGGAACCTACACACACGCACACGCACGCACGTACGCACGCACGCACGTACGCACGCACGCACACACACACACACAAACACACAAACAGTGAACCTCCTGCTACAATTACAGCATCACGATCATGTGTTCCTAGTAAACGATGGCGATACAAATCTCTGCGATGAGATACACTGATGCAACAATCGTTAACGCTAAAAGACCGTTACTTATTTCAGCGACACACTAATCCCAGGAATAATTTACTGCTTGGCAACCACCAGACCACTGTAACATTCCACCTCACGGAAGATGCTTGTGTTTCAGTATCGTGCTGGTTGCCTAGCAGCGGCATTAGTTGTTCCCAGGAAGGTGCGTGTTGCCTTGCTGCTCTCAAAAATAGTAACGATTGTCATGCAATCTACTTGCTTCTCTCCAATATATAGCAGTTGTCTAACAACCACCTCTCAGTCTATTCTAAACGACACTGCCTTGCAGCGCGTCCGGGGCAACATCGGCAGGTTGCCTGGCAACCAGCTCGCTGTGGAAGCTGCCGCTGACAGGGTCGACCTGGGCGCACATGAGAGCGGGTTCGTGGGTCGCGCACAGGCTGTCCGTGCTTCCATCCACGCACCGTAGGTGGCGCTGCCCGCCCTTCAGCATCTCATACGACATCGAGCGACCGACAGGTGGCGCCACCTTCGCGTCACCGCACCGTCGCACCTCGACGAATGCCGAGCAGGTCGGGTCATTCGCCGACGGTGGCCGCACGTCGGCGGGCCCAGCGGGGGCGGTCGTGTACAAGAGGGGGGACCCGGCAGGGGCGGTGGTATACGAGAGGGGGGACCCAGCAGGGGCGGCCGTATATGAGAGGGGGGACCCGGCAGGGGCGGTGGTATACGAGAGGGGGGACCCGGCAGGGGCGGTCGTATATGAGAGGGGGGAGCCGACAGGGGGGACGGAGGATGAGTCTGGGGACACGGCGGGGGTGAGGGAGCCAGCGTCGGGCGTCACCGTGGCCGTGCGCGTCGTGGAGGCGGTGTCCGGGGTGCTGGCGGGCGTCCCCGCCCCCGCCCCGCGCCCCTGCGTCGCTGACTCCTGCATCTCCAGTCTCTCATCGAGGTCCTCCATGAGAGAGTCGCTTCGCGTGAAGGTGGCTCCCCCTGTGTGGTGCGGTGAGTGTTCAGCGACGAACAGCTTCACCTTGTCGGCGAGTTTGTGCAGCATCTCGACGCTGTGCGAGGCGAGACTGTCGTGCCGGCTGAGAGGGCGCCGGTGTAGCAGCAGGTCGTCTTCGTCCAGACTCGACGTGTCATCGTCGTCCTCCGTCTGGTAATCCCGCGCCGCGTGGCGCCCCCTGCCCCCGCCGTCGTCGTCGTCGGAGTCACGGTCAGGGTAGCCGCTCTCGGACGAAGCTGACGATGCAGCGCCACCTAGCAGCACCTCGAGACCGTCGTCGTCGTCGTCGTCAACGGCAACCGGCATGCTCAGCACCACCATCTGTAAGGAGGCGAGAGAGAGAGAGAGAGATGGCGGCGTGAGAGAGAGAGATGGCGGCGTGAGAGAGAGACAGGTCATGTTACAGTATACATCGCAAGCAAAACAAGAACACACACAACACATATATAATACGTAGAGAGAGAGAGAGAGAGAGAGAGAGAGAGAGAGAGAGAGAGAGAGAGAGAGAGAGAGAGGCGACAAGGATAGGAATCTACGGCAGCGTTGGTTTTGGTTGGACTCACTTTTGGTCGCCGTGACTAGTCAAGTACGTCACGTATCGGCACAAACCCAACGAGAATTGACCGGGCCGTGACCTGTCAGAAACATGAGGTGGGGTCACCATGAAACGCCACCGCTATAAACCAACGAGAATTGACCGGGCCGTGACCTGTCAGACACACACACACATACCCCACACACACCCCTTGCCTGGACCATCCCATCAAGCCTCACATGCGAGTTAAGTAAACGGCAGTAACTTACCTCTCGGTCGCGAGGCGTCGATCGGTCGCCATGGCGATGAGGAGGCTTGTGTAGATCGTCGTCGTCCTCGTCGTCTGACGAGTATCGGCTACCGTTGTCGGGGGTAACCTGCGACGCAGCATCGACGGCCTCACTGTCGCTGCTAGCTCCCGACGATGTCAGACAACTGTTGTGTAGCACCGTGTGTAGCATGTTGCTCTCATGCTCCACCTGGTGGTAGGAACAAGAGGCGCACGCGTGGACATTAACCGTGCATCATCGTTCAGGTCGTTGATGTGTACTACTGATAAACTGTCAGAATCTGTCGCGCGTTAAGGTGAGGTTGGGATGTTGGCCTCACAAGCTTGTGAATGTGAACACCTGACATAGCATGTGAAGACGCACGCGTGCGTGTGGGTACCTGGCGTAGCATGGAGTCATTCCGCAGCATGTTTGATCTAGCTGTATCAAGCCCCATGCCATCGTTATCTTCATCGTCAGCATCCGAGTCCTGTATTGTGTGACACGACGACACCGTTACTATGGGAACGTCCTCCTGTTGCCGTGACAACTCCACGATGGTATTCAGCTCTGCAATAGCATTCGTTGATATTATACACACAATCATTCACACACAATCATTCACATACGCACACACATGCACGCACGCACGCATACACACACGCACGCATACACACACGCACGCATACACACACGCACATACACACATACACACGCACGCACGCATGCGCGCACGCACGCACGCACGCATACACACATGCACATACAAATATATAATATGAAGTGGTTGCTAGAAGTGCTTACAACAGACGATGTAGAGAGAGCGTGACAATAACCCGCGCTCCCTCCGCAGCGCCGCGACAGATAGCACAGAGAGACAGACACGCTAACGACGACGACGACGACGACGACGACGATGACGACGACGACGACAAACCTACCCCCCGGCTGCTCAGGTTTTGTCAGCGTTGGATACTTTGGCACGGGTCGCATCAGATGTGGCTGCGGGCGGTCGGTGAGGTAGAACTTCACGTGGGGACTGTCGGGCGGCGCGTCGACGGGCGTGTCAGAGCCTGCCACACACGACGAGTATGTGTGTCAGAGCAGCAACTCACACACACGCACGCACGCACGCACACACACACACACACACACACACACACGAGGGGAGAGGGGAGGGGTGCCCCTACGCTCTCTATGCCTGCCTGCACACGCACGCACAACCTTGTGTGGCAGAGCAGCAACACCGATGTCAAACTCTACTAGCTGTACATTCTACTGCTAAGTAAAAACCTTAATATCAAACCACACTGGTTACTTTAACATGTTAACAACATCATCTGCTGGTTAGCTGAATCATCGATGACAAACTACAATGGTTAATCACTACACTGACAACAATGCCCTCTAGTGCCTACTTCTGACAATGACAGCACCATCTACTGGTTACTCGAGGAATTAACATCACATCTAATGACCGTATTGGCAGAGGCACACATATTTTACGTGAGTTATCACTCACACAGGCTACTAATCCAGAGCCTGTGTGATGCGTGAGGTTACATTATATTAAGGTGAGGTTACGTTATGTTAACGTGAGGTTAGGTTATGTTAACGTGAGGCTAGGTTATGTTAACGTGAGGCTAGGTTATGTTAACGTGAGGCTAGGTTATGTTAACGTGAGTTTGTGTTATATTAACGTTAGGTTACATGTTACGTTGAGTCGCGACGTTGGCACACCTATGCTGATGTCTGCGCAATCTCCGGCGTGGTACTCTCTCTCCCGTAACGTCAGCACCAGCAGACGAAACATCTCCCAGTCACCAAAGTTCATTCCCATGACCTTCTTCAGTTCATCAAGGTCACACATGAGCAGCACCTTCAGTTAAGCAAGGGAGAGAGAATGCAATAAGACGGTGACATCACACCTGCAGGGGTTAGTAGCGATGGTCGAGACACTTGATGATGTAGTTCTAGATAACGTGTTTGACTGAGTGCAGTAGTGAGAAGGGTAACAGAAATAAGGGAACGGAACTATAAATAGGTAGTAGTAAGTATATGTTTAAGGTTGGGACGTGAGTCGATGTGAGACAGGGGGAGGGGAGGGGAGGGAGGGGGCACCACGGTATGAGACAGGGGGAGGGGAGGGGAGAGAGGGGGGCACCACGGTGTGAGACAGGGGGAGGGGAGGGGAGGGAGGGGGTCACCACGGTGTGGAATAGCTTACCTGGCCGTTGACGTTGTTATCAGCTATGAGTGACAGGTAATTCTGTAGGTTTGGCTGTGACACGGCCTCGACGTTCTTGAAGGCTTCACACACCTCCTCCACGGTCATGCTGCTCAGACGCTTATCCGGCATCAGCTGCAGCGTGCCGCAAAACAATCGTTACCGTGACGATAACGAGAAACAACAGAAATATAATAATTGCTGGTAAAATTATTGTTATGGCAATATGATGAAATAGCATCAACAAGTTGTTAGACAATCGCAACCATAGCAATACTGAGATGACAGAGTGCTCAACAAGCAATAAAACAATTGTTACCATAGCAACACTAAGAAATAGCGGCAACAACCAGCAAAAATATTATTACCACGGCAACACCACGAGGCAAGAAAATTGTAAAATAATTATTACTCTGACCACAGCCTGATTAAATTAAGAATGAGACAGAATGACATCATAAAATCAAAATTATTTATCTGTCTTATATAACTTTATATGTTTATGCATTAATTTAATATCATGTTCATAATAAATGGGACCACTGTACGTATCAGTATATCAGTCCACGCACACCAGCACGTTATGTAAATAAGAGCAACAGCAACATATCCAAATACTATTTGCATCTTGAACCAATGTGCAAACTAACAACATGATGAGCAAACAAACAAAAAAGAAAACAAATAAATCCAGAATTAGCTTAGTCTGATAACAGATGGCGCTGCAACGTCACCGTGACAACGCGTTACCTTGAAGGGTAGCTTCTCCATGCTGCGAGCGTAGGATGCCTGTGGGGTCATGCTGTGCATCACCACCTCCGGGGGGTAGCCTGTCACCGGGTGCCCACACACCGGTGAGAACATCTATAACACCAGAAAGCGTGAAACTCCAAGCAGAGATTTCCCCCGATCTCTCAAAAAACATCACGGCCGGCGGAGATTCCGACTGCGTCGTTCGTGTAGTTTACGCAGAAATACAATGGTGTGGGGTTGTAGCGTGATCGAGCGTGCTGCGGCGAGTAAATTGTTTGCATGCAGTGGCATTGTGTATTGTCTGATATCTGTTATTCATTAGCCATTCTCAAGCATATCAAATCTCTATCATAACAAAACGTATAAATAAGGTGAAACCAAACAAATAACTTGATACTACAATGAGTGGTGCTTTGGAAAGGTAGTGGACTGATGAGAGAGGCGATGGTGCGTGCAGTCACAAGAACAGTGACAGTATTTCAGCAATGACAGAAGCAGCGAAATGGGGGAAACACCGATCACATGTAACGACTGATGAGCAACGTGATAACGAAGCAATGCTATGTAGGTCAATGTTCAGCGGTACCAAACACACACACACACACGCGCACACACACACACACGCGCGCACACACACACACACACACACACACACACACACACATGCACACACACACACATGCACACACACACACACACACACACACACATGCACATGCAGCACACAGGAAGAACTGAATATCTGTCATTGTGATTCAATATTATGTCTGTAAAAGACAACTGCTGTCAAATGCGCAAAAAAAGAAAATATGGAAGCTGACCATGCAAGCTTCCTGTCAAAACACTGTTAGTGAAAGAGGTCATTAAGAGGACAGAGAAAGTAGAAGTTGCTAAGTTAGAAGTAATCAGAATGTTTTATTTGTAGTAAAGAAGTCATATTACAATGCCATGCAGGAATAGAATATTTGTTACACAGATCATGCATGTGCAGAGTTAAGAGAAATTAAACAAACAGAAAGTGAAGTGTTAGCCGCTATTACATAGTTACCATAGTAACGATATCACAACAACAACGTCGACATGTTAGTGACTGTATTATATTAGTTATATTTTAGTTTTGCGTGATTTCTTTATCGATACATATATTGATTCAGTACATCTCACAGATAAAATATCAGCTAAACTAGAGGGAAAGGAAGCAAATGACTTGCTCACTACAGCAATTCCCAGAAAACTATCCAAAGTGTGCGTCAAGCGAGTCCAGATATTCTACCTAACAGCAGGGAAACCTCCAAAGGGTGGTAGCACATGCAACATGAGACAGCAACCATGGCTAAAAATAATGTATGACTACCTGTGGCTGGTGGGGCCCCCTGGTGTTGGCAAAACTCACGGGGGATTGCACAATAGGCTGCTGCGTGGAGCTGGCTTTTCTCACACGTGTGAAGTCCGGACCAGGGAAGACCATCGGTGGATAGCCGTAGTGATTCAGCTCCAGCTTCAGGTTGTCCTGCACCTGCATGTTCTCTACACACAGAAACACAAACACACGGTCACTGATGACGTCAGGGCTGTCGACAGCTACCCACTGCCATGTTAATGAGGTGATGACGTCAGGGCTGTAGACAGCTACCCACTGCGACAGCCCCTGAGTCATCAATCATTCATTACCCATGGCAGTGGGTAGCTGTCTTACAGCCTCTGAGTCTCACGGTCATTAAGCATGGAGTGGGTTAGCCGTCTACATCGCCCTACGTGCATCACCTTCATTCAATGCAATGGCTAGTGGGCTAGCTGTCTTACAGCCCTGACGTCTATCAATCCTCATTAACAATGGCAGTGGGGTAGTGTCTACAGGCTGGACGTCATGCATCTATTACATGCAGTGGGTAGCTTGTCTACAGCCCTGAGTCATCTAATCTCGATTAACATGGCAGTGGGTAGTCTGAACGTGCAGCCGCTGACGTCACCATGCTTGCATTAACCATGGCAGTGGGTAGGCTGTCTACAGCCCTGGACGTCACCATCTCATTAACGATGGCGAGTGGGTGCGGTCTACCAGGCCGCTGACTGTCACCATCGTCATTAACATGGCAGTGGGTTAGGCTGTCGAGCAGCCCTGACGTCATCATCTGCATAACATGGCAGTGGGTGAGCTGTCGATCGGCCCTCGACGTCATCACTCTCATTAACGATGGCCAGTGGTAGCTTCTACAGCGCCTGACGTCATCATGCCTCATTAAACCATGGCCACTAAGGGGGGTAGCTTGTTCGCCAGGCCCTGACGTCATCATCTATTCACATGGCAGTGGTAGGCTGTCGACGGCCCGTCTGACGTGCATCAACGCGTCATTAACATGGCAGTGGGTGAGCTGTCTACAGCCCTGATGTCAATCGACCTCATTAACGATGGCAGTGGGTAGCTGTCTAGCGGCCCCTGGACGTCATTCATCCTCATTAACATGCAGTGGGTAGCCTGAACGTGCATCATCTCATTAACATGCAGGTGGGTAGCTGTCTCAGCCACTGACGTCATCAACTTCATTATACATGGCAGTGGGTCGCTGTTCTACCCAGCCCTGACGTCATCATCGTCATTAACATGGCACGTGGTAGTGTCTGACAGCCCTGACCGTCATCCGTCATTGAACATGGCGAGTGCGTAGGCTGGTCGACCGGCCCTGAACGTCCATCACTGCATAACAATGGCAAGTGGGTAGCTGTCTACAGCCCTGCGTGCATCACTCATTAACCTGGCCAAGTGGGTAGCGCTTGACTTACAGCCCGTGCGTCTCGATCTCATTAACATTGGGCCGTGGGTAGCTGTCTACGGCCCTGGACGTCATTCCACCAGTCCTTTAAACGATGGTCCAGTTGGTAGCTTGTCTTACAGCCCCCCTGACGTATCACCCTCATTAACATGGCAGTGGGTAGCCCGTCTACAGCCCTGACGTCACCATCTATTAACATGGCACGTGGGTAGCCCGTCTACATGCCGCTGAGTTCAATCATCTTCATTAACATGGCAGTGCGTAGGCCGTCTACAGCTGACGTCACCATCTCATTAAATGGCTAGTGGGTACTTTGTCTACGGCCCTAGGACGTCCTCATCTCATTAACATGGCATGGGTCGCTGTCCGACGTGCCCTGACGTCATCATCCTCATTAATGGCGTGGTACTGTCTACAGCCTGACGTCACCGATCTCTATTAACATGGCAGTGGGCTAGCTGTCTTACGGCGGCCTGACGTCATGCTACCGTCATTAACATGGGCAGTGTGGTAGCTGTCCTTACAGCCTCGGTCATCACCTCATTAACATGGCCGTGGGTAGCTGACTGCAGCCACTGACGGTCATCACCTCCTTAACATGGTTAGTGGGTAAGCTGTCTACCGGCCTGACGTTCATCACCTTCATTAACTGGCAGTGGGTAGCTGTCTACAGCCCCTGACGTCATCATCTCATTAACATGGCAGTTGGGTAGCTGTCTACAGGCCCTGAACTGCATCATCTCATTCACAATGGCAGTGGGTAGCTTGTCTACAGCCCTGGATGGTCATCATCGTCATCACTATGGCTAGTGGGTAGCTGTTCTACGGCCCTGACGTCATCATCTCATTAACATGTGCCGTGGGTAGCTGTCTGCAGCCCTGACGATCAGTCATCTTATTAACATGGCAGTGGTAGCTGTCTACAGCCTGACTGTATCATCTCATTAACATGGCAGTGGGTTAGCTGTCTACAGCCCTGAGCGTGCATCATCTCATTACATGGCAAAGTGGGTAGCTGTCTACAGCCCTGAGTCTATGGACCTCATTCACAATGGCAGTGGGTAGCTGTCTTACAGCGCGCTGACGTCATCATCATTAACATGGCAGTGGCTAGCGACTGGGCAAGCCGCTGAACGTGTCTATTCATCGTCATTAACATGGCCAGTGGGTGCTGTCTACAGCCCTGACGTCATCACGTCATTTAACATGGCAGTGGGTAGCTGTTCTACAGCCCTGACGTCATCCGCATCGTCATCTAAATGGCAGTGGGTAAGCTGTCCTACAAGCCCCTGACGTCACCATCTCATTAACATGGCCCGTGGTAAGCTGACTGCCGCCCTACGTCATCATCTGCATTAAACATGGCAGTGGGGTAGCTGTTCGACAGCCCTGAACCGTGCATCACCCGACCCGTCATTAACATGGCAGTGGGTAGCTGTCGACGGGCCCTGACGTCATCACTCATTAACAATGGCAGTGCGGTAGCCTGTCTACAGCCTGATGTCACATCTCCCATTAACATGGCAGTGGTAGCTGACTGCAGGGCCTGACGTCATCACCCTCATTAAATGGCAGTGGCGTAGCTTGTTCGAGCAGCACCTGACGGTCATCAATCTGCATTACGAT